TGCGTAAACTAAATTTCTCTCAGGCTTTTTTGTGTGGTTTCTTAATTATATGTCAAATCGTGAACAGTTTGTTCCAATTGATGATAGAACCTCGAACAAGATGACTATAGATTTTGGAATACCGCATGCCTCCATCCTCGGCCCGATGTTTTTTAATTTATATGTAGCAAACCTTCAGGAGAATATTGATCAACAAGTAACCTGCTTTCAATACGCAGTTAATAAGCGAGCAGGATTGTTTTATTAGGTTTAAAGCCACGAGCGCGCAGCGCGAGTGGTTTTAGATCTAATAAAACACGACCTGCGAGTTTATTGAACGGCTTCAAACACGACTACAAATTCAATAAATTTACTGCCTTATTAGACCAGGCGGAGAAGGGGGGAATGGTCCCCCGACGGGGAAATTTATGAGACCACGTGGATTTGGTCAATTTGGGAGCGCTGAGTTCGAAAATCGATGGTATACAGGCTTTGGGCGGGGCCTTCAGCCTCATTTTCGCGATTAAAACCTCGCTTTGGTGCAAAACCGATATCTGCTCGATTGAAGCAAAAAGTAATGGAGAATTTGTTCAATCTGGCCACTCGTGTCACGTTTTGGGCGCTGAGGTGAACATTTAATTATATTCAGAGGGTAAACGTGCCCTCCAGTCTCGTTTTCACATTAAAGCCTCGTTTTCACGCTACAAACCCTCGTTTTCACTATTTAAATTTTTAATATTTCAATTACGTTTAATCGTTCTACTGTAATTATTTATTTCGTTTACAGTCATTTACGGCCAACAATAAAATGAAAACATTTTCGCGCGTTTTTTATGTTTATATCGTGACGTTTATCGTTAGAAAGAATACACTTGAAGTGTGCATATAGAACAACAGTAGTGTAAAACGTGCAACTATTGTTAGCATAACTGTCATGTTTTGTTGCGTGAAACAAGCAACTAAGCCGTTTACATTTAGATGTAATTACTAAAATTTAACTTACATCTTGCTATAATAGCACGTCGATCAATTCTCGCGGTTTGGAAAAATGTTTCAAATTCACGATTTTCTTGCTTTAATTTGCTGTTTTGGGTAAAAAAACATACACCAAGCTCATAGCAAAGCAACACTGATGACATACTTACCTCCTATTTCTTCCCCAATAATCGAATACTCCACCATCATAGAAATGTTCCATCAATCTAGACAGCAAGCGCAGCAATCCAACATGTCCTACACTCACATCACTCTCGACGTGGGAGCTGCAATCAAGGCTTTTCATGTGGTTCGGAACAATCCAGGTGCGTGGTCCGACATTATAATTCATCTAGGGGATTTCATGCAATAATGGCCTTTTTTGCGGTTATTAGGCGTTTCGTGGAGGGTAGTGGATTCGAAGATGTGTTATTTCAAGCGGGTCAGTGTATTTCTGGAAGCATTACCGGAGTGATGAGTGGAAAGCACTACAATCGATGTTAACTTGTTCACGATGCTTTTTCCGAAGCATTGGAAAGGCTCTTTATAGAACAATATTTTCCAACCATACCAGAGAAAGTTGAGGAGTTCGCCCAAAGTGACCCCGCACAAGAAACAAGTTTAACGATCATTCTTAACGATGACACTGTTAAAGAATATGTCAAGGCAGTCAAGCAATGCCAAACACAGAAAACCAAATGTTTGAACGGAGAATTTGGAAGAAACACCCCAGTATTGGGCAAAATATATGGAGCTAATTGATCGTCAGCAGAAATTGCACTTTTCCATCAATACCAATGATTATGATCTGAGTAATGCTCATTTGGAAAAAAATCTTTGCCTTTGTGCTTCGAATCGCTACCAATCGGGTTCATTATGCTCGCTATGGCACATATTATGTCGGTGGCTTAGAATGTATCGACAGCACTCACCCAGGAGAAAGACAGGAGATCGAAGATCTTGGTTTGTCTATGCGGGGAAATCAACTTGGCATATGGCAGGCAATCGACATGGCAGGCGAACAAAGTTACATGAGAAGCACAAAGACTGCGGATAATTTCATATTTATGAATTAAAACATCTGTTGATATCGGTTTTGCACCAAAACGAGGCTTTAATCGCGAAAACGAGGCTGAAGGCTCCGCCCAAAGCCTGTATACCATCGATTTTTGAACTCAGCGCCCTCAAATTGTCCAAATCCACTTGGTCTCATAAATTTCCCCGTCGGGGGACCATTCCCCCCTTCTCCGCCTGGTCTATATTAGTATTCTTTATATAAAAAATACTAATGAGGACACGACTACAATAGATACTGCCTTATTAGTATTCTTTATATAAAGAATACTAATTAGGAGTGTTTTATCAGGTTTAAAGCCACTGCACGTGACACATTATTGTTAACATGATTTGCCAATAAGCTTATGAATTATTAATGACTGTTTGAACATTCTATAAACACTGCAAATATATAGATCTATTGCAGTGCGAGGCAGAGATGAACACTGCTCTTGTGCAACTATCAGACTGGTCTTATGATTCTAATTTAGCTCTCAATGCAGGAAAAACCAAATGTATGGTTTTTTCAACTCAGCAGATGGCAAGTACTCACTCACTACATTTGCACGAGACCAGTCTAGCGGTTGATGGTAATTTATTAGAGCGAATACGCGTCACAAAACGCTTGGTTTGCACATTACCGAAAACCTTACTTGGAATGATCATATTAAACAATTGTCCTCGACTTGCTACAGCACCTTGGTCACTCTTAGGAAAATAAAGAACTTTACTCCATTTTATTTACGAAAGCAGTTGGCCGAACAGCTTATTTTGTCCAAGATGGACTACGGTGATCTTGTTTTTAACCCTCTCCCCGACTACCTTTTAAGTAGGCTGCAAATGATCTAGTTTTCGGCAGCTAGTTTTGTTACCGGAAAATATGTGAACTCTGCGGAAACTCTATTAAACCTTAACTGGCTGCCGATGCGTGAACGTAGAGATTTCAACCTACTCAATTAAAGCCACCCATAAAGCAATTTATTCACAGAACTGGCCGAAGTATGCTGCAGTTGAACTATATAAACCAGCTCGCAGCCTACGCTCGAGTACCAGCTTAAATTTGGTTAGGCCCATGGAAAAGGGTACTTTCCAAGACATTTCATCCGAACTGTTCAATAGCCTACCATCTGACATTAGATCTATATACGACTACAGTCAATTCTGTACAAAAGTTAGGGCTGTAGTAAAGTCTCGTATAATGTAAATATGTACTAACATTTTTATCTAAATATTCATTTTCTATAAGACTCTAATTACCGATCAAGAAAATATATATGATGAAGTTAAATTTGTTAATGTATCTATAAGCTCTTTAGGTGTATTTGGTGAATCGACGAATACTTTATTTGATATGCTCCATGATCTGAAGTAAGTCGAACAATGTATTAAATATGTAAAAAAGAAAATAATTAATTGCTACTTGTATTCGCATGTCTTATTATATATTCTGTAGACGAAACAAAGACTGGAACAACCCAGAACTTTTAAACTTTTAAATAATTTTAAAAGATTTTCACCTGTATATATAGCTACCTTTTATTAAGTGAGGTTTATCAATGTATATATAGTATATCGTAAATATCTAATAAAAAGTTTCCATTATTATTATTATTATTATTATTATTATTATTATTATTATTATTATTA